AAAATCTTTCAGCAAATTTTAATTTAGCAAATTTAAGAGTCTCAGCCGCTCGACCTCCATGCTCTGCGCAGACAATGTTAGTTTTGACTCCTATCACATCTCCTCCAAGAGCCATAAAGATCATATGAAGCAGTTGTCTTATTCCGCTGAGCACAAGCCGACAAAAGAGCAAGTACTCCTTCATTAAATCTTTTACACCTTGTTTAACAGCGATACATTCTGGTCCTAATTTTTTAAGGCAGCTGCCATTTGCTTTAGCTTTAGTCTCATCAAGGAAGCAGGAGGCGAGTTGCTTTCTATTTTGACCCATATTGTAACGCAGATAAATTATGTTAGCTATATCTTTTCTTGTTTTATCGGAGTGCTCTTTGTTTAGATAAATATAGCAGAGCATAGCTAGACTATTTGTTTCGACAAGCTTGCAGGGATTGGCGATTCCGATTATGTTTAAATTTATACCGCAGCCTTGTGCGTATATGATTGTTTCTCCGGAAAAATCATACAACCTAGGAAACAATATTGGTTTGAGTTGTTTTGTATTAATAAGATAAAACGCACATTTTGTTATTTTGACTCCGTACTAAGGTCTCATTTCTTCTAATGAAGTAAACTCAGGTATTTTTATTTATTTTTATTTTTGTTTTAAGTTTATTTTTTGTTCCTTAATATTACAAATTCGTAACCACATAATAAAGATTCGTTAACAGTGAATATATAAATAAAAACAAAATATTACAAAGTGGTTTTACAAAAATAATAAATTCACTCTAACACTGTAAAAAGAACGCAGAAAACTTGCAGAAGACCAAATGGTCTTCTCATCAAGAACCGCTTTACATTGCCGTAAATATAAAAACATATTCATAAAATTTTTACATAAAATCATTAAATTATAATGGTATTAAAATGTCAGATAACAAGTATACAAATATATTTTTACAAAAATCGTTTAGTAAAATCGCAATGTTGAAAATATATTTATATTAAATAAAAAGAAAATATTTATAAATAAATTTAAAAAAAATCACTAACTAAATTTTTATACTTTAAAATACTCTTTTTAATAGTTTTTTTAAAGCTATTTAAGTTTTTTAAATCAATATTATTTAAATTAATTAGTAAAAACTTATTCCAGATATGAGGTGCACGATAAGTCATTTTGAATTGTTCAAGCTTATTTTTGCATGAAGGCTCTAACAGGGTACTATTTGTACGCAATAAATATTTGTACTCTGGTTTTTGTTTATAAAGACTATAGAAAATTGAAGGACTTTTTTGCATTTTGCTATTATACATAAGACTTAGAACATTATATACATTTAGTTCAAACAATGTTAATAAAGACATTTGTTCAAAAAGAGGTTTTGAGTGTTCTGTTTTATTTTTAAAATTAATCACACGTATAGCATGCTTCTGTTTACGATAAAGTGGTTCTAGTTTTGTTTTACAGGTACTACCCCAAGCTATATTTCCGTAGTTTAGGTAACTTTGAACAAAACTATGGTAGATTTGTTTGAGTAGTGGTTTTTTTAATAAATAACGTGACTGGTATATTATTCCTATGCTTTTGGATATTTTACTACCTATATAACCGATATGTTTATTCCAATTTAGATTTTCGTCAATAAAAACACCCGAAAATTTCGTAACAGTATTCCTACCTATTTCTCTATTTTCAATAAACAATTTCGGAAAAAAAGATTGAACTTCTTTTTTTTAAAAGAAGGATGAAATAAAGAAAACTTTGTTTTACTTGAGTTAATAGAGAGTTTGTTTGCCCTAAACCACTCTGAAATCTTTTCTAATTCATTGTTCATTTCTACGCACAGCTCGCTATTATATTTTCCAGAGATAAAAAAGTTGCTATCGTCAGCAAACATTATAGTTGAAATTCTTTTTGAAGCCATACAGAGATTGTTTACATAGATTAAGAAAAGCAAGGGCCCAAGTATTGAACCTTGAGGTACACCACACTCTATTATAGACGGATTAGAGAGTTTATTGTCTCCGTAATATACATATTGCACACGTTTATCTAAATAGCTTTCTATCCACTTGTTGGATCTACCCCTTATACCGTACATATTAAGCTTTGATAATAATATTTTGTGGTCAAATGTATCAAAAGCCTTTGATAGATCTACAAAAACCCCCAAAGTAACTTCTCCGTTTGTAAAGGAGTTTTTTATTTCTTCAACTAAGTGAAGGATTGCGTGTTCAGTTGATGT